TGTTCCTGGAAAGACTGCAACAAGGATGATACTAAATTTGAAACAATCAATCTTCATTTGACTTCAAAACACTTTATCTGAACACATCCAGACTAATATTGCACTTTTTTTCTTTTTTGGGTCACACCTGGCGATGCACAGGGGTTACTCCTGGCTCTGCACTCAGGAATTACTCCTGGTGGTGCTCAGGGGACCATGTGGGATGCTGGGAATCAAACTCAGGTTGGCCGCGTGCAAGGTAAACGCTCTAGCCGCTGTGCTATTGCTCCAGCCCCTAATATTGCGCCTTAAATAAAATATAAAAGCTGTGTATATTTCTGATGATACCAGGAACCATTTATTTACCAAGTTGGGTTAATCCGGGATCAGTAGAAGCCATGATCTCAGGCGGTGATGTCTCTCAATGCGAGCACTTAAAGAGTTCACATGCAAAGAAACGGAGAAGCGCAGGGGCAGGTGTTGATTATAATGGGAAGTTGAGGCAATGGGCCAGTAGCTTGTATTTAGTCTTGGATCTTCCTTAAATCATCATTATAAATCATCCTGTGAAGAAACTGTGTCCTACAGCTAAGATGGAAAAGCCAGCACTGGAACCTGTGTGCTTGCCACCAGTCGCTGGTATGAACTTCCGGTGCTGTTGCAGGCTTATCCTATTGCCCCCAGCAATGAGAACAGCCAGTTTATTCTGGATCTTCTAACTAGGATGCTGAAGGCGGATGGTAAATGATGGCATTCGTAGTATCTAAACATCCTGTGACTTTACTCATCTCATTTGAAGAGGGGGTTATCACTGATACATGTAGGTTTAAATTTTGGATTGCTTAGATTTTCTTTGTTACTCAAATTGTTTCCATGCAGTGTAGAAGGGCTGTATACTAGATTCAAAATGAATCCACACAATAATACAGAAGTTTTAAAGTCATGTGGATAAATCACATGGTACCAGGAATGTCAGACACACATATCTGTGGATTAGACTTGAGGACTATTCCCAGTTGGATGTTTGTGGGACCAAGCCAGAAATCAAACTCAGAACCAGGAACCAGTGCCAAGAATTGAATCCAGAGCCTCACACTTGCAAGGCACATGCTCTATTACTGAACCATATCCTTGGCCTCATGTTTATTTTGGTATTTAAGACATACTTGCGCTCTTTTTTTATGATTGTGGCAGTGCCGGGCACTGAAACTACCTCTCATGCATGCAAGGCACACACCACCCGAGCACATCCTAACCTGTTATTTGAAAAGTTAGAACCTATAGATAGGAGGTCAGTGAAATGATGAAACCTGTTTCCAGTATAAAGTTGATGTACTGACATTTATTTATTGTCAGGGAGCAAGTGTGCAAGGCATCTGCTCTATCTCTGAGTTACTTTTTTGATCTTTTAGATGAGTTGATCTTAAAAAGTAGTTTGGAGGGGCTGGAGCGATCGTACAGCAGGTAGGGCATTTGCCTTGCTCTTGGCCAACTCATGTTCTATCCCTAACATCTCATATGGTCCCTTGAGCACCACCAGGAGTGATCCCTGAGCATGCTGCCAGGTGTGACTCCCTCCAAAAAAAAAAAAAATAGTAGTGTAGTGTATTATTGCCAGTCTTTACTTTTTCTTTAATTGTTTACAAAGAATAAATAGCTGAAAATTTAATGAATAGCTGAAATTTTAAAAAACTGTAATCAGAAGGAGCAGCACTTTGGCTAACCAGACCAACTAATTATGTACTATGTTAAATTTACCTCTGCACAGGACTGGTGTTAATATTTATAGAGAAACCAGTGAGTTTTTTTTTATTATAAATGCATCTTTTTTGGATTGTGACAGACATGTGCTGAGCAGATGGAAAATGTATAGTTTGGATATCCTTAAGTAAATGCTGGACGTATGTCAACACACTTGGAGTTGTAAATATTTCCATGTGTAACTTTATCTGAAATGACTATCTTGATGTTTTTGAAAGTCAGCTTGGTCTTGGTAGCAGTGCAGTTGGAACAGTACAGAGGAATAATCAAGTGAGAGTCAGCACAGTATTTCCTTATTCCATCTTATAATGAAAAATGGGAAGCATCACTAACAACAACAACAACAAAAAAACTGCTCCTCGTTCTGTGTGTTGAGCTTTCTTTCTCCCCCTCTCAAATGGTACTTTTATTATTATTTGGGAGGGGGGCATGCTCAGCAGTAATCAGGGTTTTATTCCTGGCTCTACACACAGGGGCATCACTCCAGGTGGGACGTGAGGGACCATATCCTGGGGATCAAACCCAGCTAGTGCTTAGCTATAACTATCTCTCTGGCCCCAAGTAGTAGTCCTTTTTTTTTTATTATTAACTTTTTGGGTCACACCCAGCGTTGCACAGGGGTTATTCTTGGCTCATACACTCAGGAATTACTCCTGGCAGTGCTCAGGAGACTGTACGGAATGCTGGGAATTGAACCCAGGTTGGCTGTGTGCAAGGCAAATGCCCTACCCTCTGTGCTATCACTCCAGCCCCAAGTAGTGGTACTTTTAAAAAGCAAATAAAGTGACCGACCATAGGAACTCTTACCTTCTTTCAGTTCTGCTGTGTAGCAAGAATCGTGTTTTGAAAAGTGATTATAAATTGTCAAATTGGCTTTGTCACTTAGCTAATGCTCAGTGGTTCAAAGTTAAAGCCTCGGTATTAAGTGCTTTAAATTAATTAATCTTGATTTGTGAATGCTAAGTATAAGATGGACTTGGAATTCAAGATCCTTCATTGTCCCATGTTGTAAGACCAAGTTGGAAAGGCAACCAGCCGTTCTGTTACTTGTTTAAAAGTTTGTACAGTATTGACTTGTGTGACTGTATTGGAAATGAAAAACGACAGTGATTATTTTAAATGTTGTGTTATTTAAAATATAAAAATATTGCTGTCTTTGTTTATGATAAATACTAAATTTAAGCTAAGCTATAAGAGATGCTGTTTGGAAATATGGAAGATACAAGAAGGAAGCCAAATAACAAGTGTATGCTTGTGTTTCCTACTGATGAAGACTTTCAGACCAGTTATTTCCATGGGTAGGTGATGTTACTCTGCATGTATACATACACTTACATTTTTGCATGATTATACATGTAGAAGAGGTACAATTTTGACTAGACTGTTGACCCATTGTCTCAACTATGAGATTGGGGTGGGGGGTGTGAGGGCAAGATGTTGAATGGCACTCCTGATATAAAATTTAAAATCAATTATTTTATATATATTTATGAACTCGAACACTTGAAAAGTCCTTTTAAAAATAGGATATTTGGTCAAATAGTCAATATTGTACTTGACCTTCATATCTTCTGCATCCTAGTATTTGGATATCACAATCGTTTCTTGATTCCGTAGTAATCATGTCGAACTCTGATGAGAACTCCACAAATCATTCCACTTTTTTCTTTTCTTTTTTTAGAGAAGAAAAGCTTCAATCATGGAGCAGATTTTTTTTTCTCCCCTTTTTCTCTTTGATCTAAAATCTATTAACAGCTAATATTGAAGCCACACTTGAATATTATGAATTTGATTTGCCCTCTTGGGGGAATTCAAAATTATTTTTTAGTCAACTGAAATGACCATGATCATTAGAATTTCATATTGTAAAATGTCTGTTTAAATAGTGGCACTTAATAACTCATTTGCTTTGGTATATTTGGTCATTTTTTTTATTTAAAAAATGTTGTTATGTCAGCCTATGACGTGGGAACTTAGTTTTTAAAGGATAATGTGTTCCATGTTTTGCTCAGTGACAATTTACACAGTGGACATATGTATTAAACCAGTAATCCTTCATTGTGTTCTATTATTGGCATATGTATTCTTCATAGTCAAGAGTTTCATAAAGTAGATGTGTTTAATGTTAATTTGTTGGATGGTGTTAAATATTTCTTTATGGGGTTGAATGATTTGCCTGCACTTTATTAATAGCAATTTGGGGGAAGAAACAGCATTCATTTATTTCTGATTTATTCTAGAACAGATGTAGTAGTAAGGAATAAGTTTCATACCTGAACAAATACTTTACTTTTGCTTTTTTGCTGTTATATTAGAAAAAGGATATCATAATTTTAAAAGCATGTGTATATTTTCCAAGCATGAATATTAAGTTATTTTAGCATGATTTGCTGCAGTTTAATTACTTTGGAACTCAGCTGCTGTTTTTCAAGCTAGTTAGGTTGATTTGGAGTCGGAGGGGATCTCTTAATTTTCCAGTAAGAACTTTAACCTCGTCTTCTAAAATAACCTGTAAGATTGTGTATCATCTCCTGGGAGTGTGGGCTAGTTTTCTTTCTTACGCAAAAGAAAATACAAATATCTCTTATAAGATATCCAAAGCAAAATCCGGAAGATGGATTTTGTGACTAGTATCTTTTTTGTAGGTTATCATAAAATTCTTAATACCCCGATATTATAGAAAGAGCTTTAACTGGAAATAGTGAAGTAGAGCTCTTTGTGTTTTCTTTATATCTTTGAAAGTGGGGGGGAAATATATATACATACATAGGCATATACATATGTCTATATATGTATATATATATTCATATTTGATTTTCTTCTTCACCCAGGATTTTCAGTATTAGCCAGTAAGAGGAAGAGTTAGATTCATTCTCTTAGGAACCTTAGATTGTTTTAATCATTTGCGTCAGGTTTTACTTAAAAAAAAAAATTCTCACTTTCTCGAAAATCTTCCCCCTTTTCTTAATCTTTTTGCTCTTCAGAAATTTGATGGGCATTCCGTGTAACATTGTTCAGTACAGTCCTGTCTTCTGTTTTCCATACCCCTCACCCCTCCTCCCCACGTGTGTTCCTCTCCTTTGTAAGCTTGGATTATCTTTTCCCATTTTCACCTCCTGTGCCAACTATTTCTGTGTACAAAGTTCAGCTTTTCTGATGAAGTTGAATAGCAAAAGATAAAGGCAAATTGGCATTTAGAGGACTCTTACTAGTTTCAGTCCACATGGTAGATACAAGTATACATTTTCTTTCCTCCCTAGATGGACCTCCAGTTGTAGCTCATTATGATATGTCTGACACCAGCTCTGACCCAGAAGTGGTAAATGTGGACAATTTATTGGCGGCTGCAGTAGTTCAAGAGCACAGTAATTGTGTAGGCGGCCAGGACGCAGGAGGTACCTGGAGGACCTGCGGGCTTCTAGAGGAGCTGAAGGCGGAGGCAGGTTGGTCGCCCACCCCCGTCCCTTCTCTGCAGGTGTAATGTGCATGTCACCTGGCCAGCTGTTTGCCTTGTAGTGGACCCTACTGAGACGAGTGGGCCCACTGGACTCCAAAAAGACTTGGGAAGCATGTCATCCATCTTTTCTAATCAAGACAGAAGTGAGACTTTATTTATGTCAGTAGACCTATTTCTGGGGTAACCAATGCCTAAGATGTGAAAAAAAAAGTAGATTCCCAGAAGAGTTAATCCAACTTTCCTCCTGCCTCCCTACTTCTCCATTTCCTCACTGCTCTGCATCTTGGGGAGCTGCTTGTACCTGCCTCATAGGACTGCTCCTTTCCTTCCATTTCTGCTTCTGTTACTTTATTTAAAAAAAAAAAATCCTTCTCCTGTCTTGCATTATTTTCCCGGGTTCCATGGGGATTCTTAAGAGGGACTCAAACCCCCTAACCCTTAGCTGCAACCTCTGAAAACCTTTGTAGTTGCTCTGGCTTCTCCTTCTCCTTCAATATGTTTCTCAAAACTCTTCGATCTTTTTTTACTTCCTGGTTGAACCTGTTACGAAAAAGCGCTAGAACTCGAAGAAAAGAAGGGAGGTACGCTGCTCATGCTGGATGTGTTATCTTTCATGTTAAATTGCACGGGCCTTTATGCATCTAGTTGTTTGGTCATTACCTAAAATAGTATTTATGGGATGTGTTTTGTATTACAGACATAACAAAGAGTTATTATTTAAAACTTAAAATTGAGAGTGTTAGGAGAATAAAACGGGAAAGAACTGTCACAAATCACACTTAAGTCTTTCCGAATTATTGGAGCAAATTTAAGATTTTGTTGTTGAGTTCCCAGCTACTTTGTTGTGGCAGATTTTGAAACTGGACCAGGTTCTCATTAAGGTTTGATTGCTCAGTGTTTATTTGACCTCAGACAAAGTGTTTGCTCCTGGATTTAAGCTTTTATGTGTACAAATACTTGCTTTGCCCGTTGCCCATAAGAAGTTTCCAGAAGAATTTTTATTACTATGTATGAACATTGCAAAAACAGCTAACAGTATTTTTATATCAGTTGGGAGTAGTTTGACCACATTTTTCATAATACATATTTCTAAGATAATTTTGTGTTCTGTGTACTGATTAATTTACCATTTTCTTCCAACTTACCTTCTTTTTAGTTTTTCCATTAAATGTAATAAATTTGATAAGATTATTACTAATAAACTTAGTAATAAATTCTTGGGGAAAATATGAACAATTAACTTTTTTGGTTTTCATATTGAGGGTTTTATTTTGTGTATAACATTGATAGTTAATTCATGATTTTTTTAAAAATAAGTCTTACAGTGGCTTATGACTTAATGTGATAAATGCAGGGTTTAGGGGCTCGGGGTATCATTGAAGTTATCTGCATAGGGGCTAGATCACACAAGTTAATTATTAGCTCAGTTATTTAGCCTTCATGTGCTTAAATCTATTGTTGATTATCTTTATTTATTTTGCTTTTGGGGTCACATCCAGAGATGCTCAGGGGTTACTCCTGGCTCTGCACTTAGAAATTGCTCCTGGCAGTGCCTTGGGGACCAGATGATGCCAGGGATTGAGCCTGTGTTGGCCACGTGCAAGGCAGATGCCCTACTCACTGTACTATCGCTCCAGCCCTATCTTTTAAAATTTTGGTCACACAATGACATGAACTGTATCACTCAGGTATCTAAAATGATGTGTTTTTTTCCCTCTGTGGGTATGTGTTTTGTTTTGGTCCTGGTGGTGCTGCTTGCTTCTGGCTTTGTGCTCAGGGATCAGTCCTGGTAGTGCTCCCTAGGTGGTGCTAGGGGCTATTTCTCAGACCCTACCATCATTTTTTGGTAATGTACTTTCTCTGGCCAGGGATCCTAGGTCATGGGGTTGTCAGTGCCTGTGTTGGCTGTAATGAAGCCCACAATCTCATGTGCTGGCCACTGTGGGGTTTAAACTCTGGCTTGCCAGCAAACGTTTTTAGGCCTCTGAGCCATCGTGTAGGCCTCCTGCCATCATGCTTAAGACACAAAGCATGGGCGCAGAAGTTAGCTCAGAGAGCTGGAGTGCACCCCTGCTGTGTGGAGGCCCTGAATTTGGTCCCCAGCACTGCACGGTCCCCTGAGCATTTCCTTGATGACCCTAGTGATCCCCTGCACTGCTGGGCCCGGGCAATAAACCCTGCCCGTCCACACAGCCCAGAGTGGCCCCTGAGCACTGCTTAGATGACTAGGAGTCACCATAAGAGAAACAAACAGGACAGTAAAAATACCAGAGGCAGGAAAACCCGTGATTTCTGTTACTTTAACTCTTCCTGTCTTCACTCCAGAGTTATCCAGAATCTCCTCTTTGATGTGGGTATTTCTGTTTATTTGCAAACATTTTCTCACTGTATTATATATTTGTACATTTGCAGGCCAATTTTGTTTTGTGTTTTTAAAAGTTTGTCCTTTTTTTTTTTTTCTTTTTCGGTCACATCTGGTGATGCACAGGGGTTACTCCTGGCTCTGCACTCAAAAATTAACTCCTGGCAGTGCTTGGGGGACCATATGGAATGCTGGGGATCAAACCCAAAGCAAACTCCCTACCCGCTGTGCTATCGCTCCAGCCCCAAAAGTTTGTCCTTTTTTAAACTCATGTTTTATTTTCACTTAAAGTTGTTTTAATCCCCCCATCCCATTCCCTTTTTCTTGGGGGGGGGGAGGTCACCTGCCAGTGCTCAGGACTAACTCAAGGCTCTGTACTCAGGGAACTCTCCTGGTGGCTCAGGGGACCATGGGATGCTGGGGATCGAACCCAAATTGGCTGTGTGCAAGGCAAACACCCTGCCCACTGTACTGTGACCAGCTCCGCCTTTTATCGTCTTTGTTGTATTGACAGGGGTTGCCCACTTGGCTTTATTGCTCACACTCTTGAGTGGTGCTCACTGCGGTTATACACTTTTTGTGGTGTCCTCAAGCTTCCCAAGATGGATTAGAATTATCTTGGCTCGATATTGCATATGACTACTTGTTTTGCCTTCAGGGCACGCTTGACCATGTTCAGCAGCTACTCTGGCTCTGTACTTGGGCGTTCTCCCCTGGCAGTGCTGGGTACCATTCTTTGGTTCCACGTGCAAATCATTGCATCGCAGCCCTTTGAACTATCTCTCTGGCCCCAGAAAAGAAAAAAACAAAAAGAAGAATCATACTTAGCAGCAGTAAAGCTCTCAAAATATTAAATTTAAAAGATTAAGTAAGTGAAAGTAAAGTAAAGGCCCTCCCGTTGATCATCGCTTTGCTCGAGCGGGCCCAGTAACGTCTCCATTGGAGACTTTGTTGTTACTGTGTCTGGCATATCGAATACGTCACGGGGAGTTTGCCAGGCTCTGCCGTGCGGGCGAGATACTCTCGGTAGCTTGCCGGGCTCTCCGAGAGGGGCGGAGGAATCGAACTCGGGTCGGCCATGTTGGCTGCGTGCAAGGCAAACGCCCTACCGCTGTGCTATCGCTCCAGCCCCAAAAGATTAATCACAAGTTTTTATCATTCTATTTATTTTCGTTGGTATTGAATATTCTACAGTTTGATTATATCACACCTTGTGCACCCATTTTCCTCTTTAAAAAAAATTCTTCTAGGGGCCACACCCCAGGATGCCTTGGGGCTGAGGGGTATGCCAGAGATTGCATCTGAGGTCTCTCACATGCAAGTCTCTACTACTCCAACAAGCCACATCCACAGTGACTTACCCATTTTCTTGCTGAACATTTAGGATGCTATTCTACATGATACTGCCATGAACATTTCTTGCATGAATCTTTTAGAATCTTTATATGATATTTTCTCTGGGTTGTCATATATAGAGCATGTATGTGTGTTAGGTTGTTAGGTGTTTTGGGGCCATACCCACCATGCTCACAGGTTACTCCTGACTCTGCACTTAGAAATTACTCCTGGCAGTGCTCAGGGGACCCTATGGGATTGCCAGGGATGAAACGCAGGTCAGCTGCATGCAAGACTAGTGCCCTCCCCACTGTTCTATTGCTCTGGCCCCAGCCAATAAAATTCTCTCTAGGTTTTTCTATGTCATGGTACAGTCATCACTCTATAAGAGATACCCATAGATACTCTGTGAAGCCATCTGTTGACATAAGGTAGCTTTGTAAATTTGTTTTTGGGGACATACCTGGTGATTCTCAGAGGCTACTCCCAGCTGGGTAATAGCACGTCCAGAAGGGAATTGAAGTTGAGATCCCTACCTGCTACTTCATCCCTTTGAGCCATCTCCCTGACCCTGGGAGTAATTAAAACAAAATGGACAGTGCAGATGTGTGAGTAATAAAACATTATATATAAAAATATAGTTGTCTAAATGGTAACTTCTCTTGCAGATTTGAATATGCATATGTTACAACAGATATTAATAGAATTTATGCCCAATTTCCTGTTTACGGTTTTTATACTTGAGCTATTAGTATAAGTTGCTTCTTTATTGTGATCAGTCTTGTGATTTGGGTTTTTATGATTTGAGAAATGCTTTAATGGTCAACCCAAATTCTCTCTTCTCCCTTTCCCCCCCAAAAAAAGAACAACAGTCACAAAGCAGTCTATCCTGGGTTCATCAGTGGTCTCTCACTGAGCTCACTGAAGTGATTATTGGAGGAAGGGATTAGTATCCCTTCTTCTGAGCCATTAAGTGATATGCTTGCACACAAAATTGTTTCTTCTGTTCCATTTTCTTTTTTTTAAATTTTATTTATTTAAATTTTATTTTAAATAAAATAAATTTATTTATTTTTTAAAATTTTATTAATAAAATTTTAAATTTTATTTTTTTAAATTTTATTTCTTTTGGACTTTTTTTGGGGGGTCACACCCAATGATGCTCAGGGGTTACTCCTGGCTCTGCACTCAGGAATTAATCCTGGCGGTACTCAGGGAACCATATGGGATGCTGGGGATCAAACCCGGGTTGGCCGCATGCAAGGCAAACGTCCTACCCTTTGTACAAT